AACGGAACCTAAATTTGGGGTACTTGCCGATCTATCAAAAACGGAACTCCTGATATATCAAAAACGAAACTTTTGCGTTAACTTCGCCAATATTGAAATTTAATTGGACTGATTTCATGTGTTACCCCCGCTTTAGACGATCTCCAAAACCAGACAAAGTGATCACTATGTGGCTTATCGTGTTTATCGTGTGTTGGAAAAAAAACGCATCACCGTTTTACGTACCCTCAATACTGCTGTTTTCCTTTCCGTTTGCTCCCTAGTCAACTAGTCTCGCACTCACCGGTTTTCCGGACATAACAGTTAAAGTGATTTCGCACAGCTTCAATAATAAAGATAGCGTGCTACGGTATCCTACGCTCGTATGATTTTCCCTGCGACTCGATGTTTGGATCTGAGGATTGCGGGATAATCACTATGACTCGTTCAATGCGGCTCTTAGTGCCTACGCCTGGGTCCCTTTTCCAGTATACAAACTTTGTTTGAGCGCTACTATTATTATTGAATACAATAGTTTCAAATTTGATTACGTATAAGCGACACTCAGTCACTTTTTCTTAAATAGAATAGATATGGATTTTGAAAAATATGCAAGTGACTTTCTTAATGGCACGTCTCTTCAAAACTGGTGCATTTTAAATTTTCTTCGCTATTTGGAAGGCTGTATACAATTCTCCTCCAATAGCAAAAAAGATATTCTTGATTCATTCAAGCGAGCACTTGAGAAGATGAATGATTCCCCTATCGTGTATGCTGGCGCGAGGGCGAAAGCCACCAAATTATTCAAGAGCGCCGAAGAGAATTTTCAAAGAAAAGAAGTTCTTGACTTTTTTTATGAAATTGACCGAAAGTGGGAAATTATAGCTCTTATTTATTTTGCAAATACTGATTTTTATTTTTGTTTATTTATTTTTAGAGGCAAAATAATCGAGAAATCAACAGAAATATTGATATCGCAAAGGTTGCGATTTCGAAGACTGCAACTATAAAGCTAGTGGATGTAAGTATTCTTTCTTTGGTTTTTATTGTTTTCAAGCATAATGAGTAACGATTATCGTGTTGATATGATTCCAAGACATTAGAAACTGAATGCGGAGCAAAGACGAAAAGGCCTCAGGATGAAGCCCAAACGGACAACCACCAGATGGACAGCAACGATGAGCGTGTCTATAAGAGGGTGATTATGGGTTTCCACTATTGGCTGCTTGGCCGTTGAAGCAATATTTCTAATTATCTTCTGCTATACAGGGCACAATTGTAGATGAGTTGGTAAGCATGCAGTGAGATTGTATAGCTTCTCACTTTATGCTGTATAATTCAAAATTCTGATCTTCAGATCGAAGGCGAATCAGATGATGAAAGATCAACAAAAAAAAGTAGAACTGAAGTTGTTGAGGTAGGTTGCAACAGAGCGTTCATTGTTGGCTCTATACGTAATGCACTAGTTCTAATTTCATTAACCAAAATACACATCATATAGGAAGAACAGATTTCTAACAGTGCGGCTGATAATCTTTCAACAAATGGAGTTGAAGATGCAAATGATGTATGTTTTCAAGACCAATATACTTGTAAGCTTTTTTCTTCCTTTGAAATATTTAAGTAATATGCCACAATTGTTTTGGTAGATTCGAATCCAAGGCATTTTGAGCAAAGAAATTCGGGTTGATGAAATGACCGTGGAAATTGTAAATATTTTCAACAATTTCAAGAGCAACAACCGCCAAGATCTGCTAGCACACAAAGGAGTAATGGACATGACGCCAAAAAGTGTTTTTGTGAAACAAATCCCCGACGAGCTTTACAAAAAATATCTTATGTCGCTGGAATCTTTTGATCTTTTGATTCCGGAAGAAACGCATGAGTTTCTTGTTAGTTTCTTTGAACAAGTAAGTAAAGAATTCATCCTTTCTGGTGAATGTTCATTTCTAATATGCAATGTGGTCATGACATGTAGGATTTGACATGCCGACAGTGGTCAGATGCCGTCGACGCTCTCGAGGGAAAAGTTTATAAAGAAGATGTCACTCGTATGGCAATAAAAATCATCAAAAAAACTATTGACAATTTGTATGTTTAATATTCTCAGAGCAAACAGCTATTTATAAATTTCTTTGCTCATCTGAAAATTCCTTGATATTTCTCAGTCTGCAGGCTTTTTCATTAGAATACATGAATCCCTTACAAAACGCTAAAGCATTGGAGGCGCCTCACTTGAACGATTATATTCATCCCTGCTTCAAGGCCGCCCTTTGGCAATGTGCAAACGTCTACTATGAATTGTAAGTTTTCGTCGCCTATATTCTCGTGTGTTCTAATGGATCCGAGAGACTAATTCTTTGCCAAAAATAATAGTGGTGAAATCCCTTCCGTTCATCATGTCGGACAACAGAAGGGAGATGGATCGGGTCTGACTGTCGATGCGGACAAATACGAAATTGTCTATGTTGAGGGCTCTCGCCCAGCCAAAGTCGAAGATGACAAGGAGTTAAACGATCGAAAGAAGATTGCTCTCAAGTTTTTTAGTATTAAATTTTTCAAGTTTTTAAAGATTTTTTAGTTTTTAATTTTTAGTTTAATGTGCAGATGCGCTGATTAGAGACAGCACAAAGTTGGCCATATCAATAAGTCCAACCAAAAAAAGTTTAATGTGCAGATGTGCCAAGTAAGGCAGCACAAAGTTGGCCATATCAAATAAGTCCAATCAAAATTGAGTTATTTTTGAGAAAAATTTTAAATTAAGCAAATATTATTTATTTATTTTTATTTATTTATTTCCAGTTAAATAATTTAAGTTTACATGTGTATTATTCCAAAATTATCCTTTTATTTATTTATAGATATTTGATTATTAGAACTCTTATCATATTTTTCTTCTTTATAAAAGAACACTTTCTTTACATATTTTTGCTCTTTATTTATCTAACAGAACAAGCAGCTGAATCTTTGTTTTCATCTCACTCAAGCAAGTTCAAGTTAGAAAGATTAATTATATTATTATTAAAGTTTATAAATTGGGATTTTGCAGGATCTTTCAATTCTTCTATTGCTACATATAATAGTAATAATTTGTAGTATTTATCATAGAGTTGACTATAGATTATATATTATGTAATATTATTATTTATTTTTATGTAAATCTGATATAATATTTTGAAATGTTAGCAAAAAGATGAATTTCATATATTTTTTTATTATTATTTTTATTTTACAGAGTAAAATATTTAAGATATAGATTTTTTATATATAATTTATTAATATTAGTTATTTTATATTCATATTTTTTATTGAAAAATTATTTTATATTTTATTAAATAATAATTAAAATAATATTATTAATAAATATTTTAGATAGTTTTATAAGTATAATATTCATAATAAAATTATTATAACAAAGTTAACAAAACTAGCAATATTATCATTATAATACTAACAAAAATAATATTTAGATCATAACAAAAGTATTATTTATAAAACTTTTAAAATGTATAAAAGTAATATATCTTAGTTAAAAATGAAAAAAATTAAGAAAAATCAATAAAATAAATTAATAAATAACTAATAAATTAATAAATTAAATAATAATAAGATAAAATAATAATTTAAATATAATAATGTTATAAATTTAATAATCTTTATTAATAATATCTTATTTATTATCATATATTTTTTATATTATAATTTCAGATCATATTCTAACTGATCATATCATGAATACACTCTTGTTATCTATCTTTAATTTTATTATAATCATAGTTTAATATCTATTATATTATATTTTTGATTATATTAGTCTCTTTCACCTATAATTAATAATATCTTTATTATATATAAAGTTATTAATTTATCATAAAATAATCTTTTCAGGAAATATCAAAAATAGTAATAACACATATATCTTATCTTTAATTTTTATTTATTAATTTATAATTTATTACTTAATTCTTACTTTATATAATAAATTATATTTAATTAATTATATATTTTTCTTGCCTAAAAAAATATAAATAGTAAATATTCTTCACTTAAAATAAATCAAGTATATTTTTTTTGATTTATAAAATTCTTATAAATTTTTTTATATATAAAAGTTTTATTTATATTATTATAAACTATACTTTAGAAGATAAATTTTATTAAGAATATAATTTATAATAAGTTTTGAGAGTAAAGACTGAATTATTTATAAAAATTAAGAAGATAATGATTATTCTAAAGATTTTCAAGTGCTAATACTTATAAGTATTATATCAATACAAGATATAAATGAAATAAATTAAAAATAAAGTTATGATCATGAAAACTAACTAAGAATAGATATCAAAAACTAAAGTAATAAATATTATACTAAAAATAAAAGATTTAGTACACTAACTAAACTCTCTAACAATATCTTTTTAACTATTAGATAAACAAAAAGTATATATCAAAATAAAATAAAGCTTTTATATATGAAAAAGCTTACAAGAATCTTCTAAATCAAATAAAATATACTTGACTTATTTTAAGTGAAAAGCATTTACTATCTATATTTTTCAGGCAAGAAAAATATATAAATAACTAGAATATAATCTATTATAATAGAAAAGATAAATAAAAGTAAGATATCAAGATAAAAATTAAAGGAAAATTACAAGATAAGTATAACTCAAATATTTTTAAAAATAATTAAATTATTATTATTCAAGTATATTTATTTTATATCTGAGAATAGAGATATTCATACATCTTTAAGTTTTTACAAGTTTCTATCTAAATTTGTTTACTACTTTAGATTATAATTACAAATTTTAGAATAAAAGATCAATAAATAAATAAGTAAAATAAAAAGATAAGATACATGTGATAAGTTATAAAATGATATAAATAATAAAATAAAATGAAAAGATAAGATAAATATTCTAAAAAGAAAAAATAAATGATAAAAATAAATTAAATTCATTGCTAAATTATTTCTAAAGTATTTTTAAACTATTATTAAATTATTTGTAAACTATTATTAACTTTTAAACTAATTATTCATCTATAATCTTGAAGCATTGCTAAAATATTACAAAAATATTATAAAAATATTATTGAATTGTGATTGAATTCATAACTGATATACTAATTATATTATTTGAAATTACATATTCTAAAAATTAATTGATTGATCAAAAATTTCAAGTTCAAAAAATTATGAAATTAAAAAAATTTATGTTATTATAATAATATTTGATCTCTTTAAGTAAGATTAAGCTCCAGCAAGACTATTAAATTCTTTTCAAAATTTCTTTAATTTCTTCATTTCTTATATATACAAGATTATTATAAGTAATTCATTAAAAGTTATATACTTTTTCAAGTCTATATTTTGATAATAGCTGATGAATTTATTTTTCAAGAAGAAAGTATCTTCTGATCAAAGTAATTTCTTTAGATTAAGCCAGTTCTCTTTGTAGTTCTATTAATTTTTGAGAGTACTATCTAGGTATTTCTTTAAGTAATTATTCAAAATAATAATATCTAATAAATTGTAATTTATCAAATTAATTATCATAATTTTTAAAAAGACTATTAAATATTATCTGAACTCTTGTTTTTCAGCTTTCTTCAGATTGAAATTAATAATTAATATTTACTATAATTACTGTTCTTGAAATTTCAATATTAATTATATCTATAAATCATTTTATTTTAATACTATTCTGTGATTTGTTTGTTAAAGTTAAAATTTCTTCTACTGTTGATTCTGATTTTTGAGATTTTTCTAAGATTATACTAGAGTTAAGTTATCTTTCAATAACAAGATCATATATTACTTTTTAACTACTATCTTTAAGTATTAACTAATCTCTAATAACTTGTAAAGTTTTATTAAACTCATTTTCTTTTAATTATTGATAAAGAGTTAAAATATTTTGAATAAAATTAAAATTATTAAAAAGAGTATTCATCTTTAAAAAGTAAAATACTAACAAGAAATTTAATTAAATAATAAGAGTATTGAAATAATTTGTAATAATTTTGATTGGATTATCTTCCTTTAGATTTCTTTTAGCTTAGATCTTCATTTTGCGCTATCTGTATAACAGATTAGCTTTGTATTACATTTTTAAGA